AAAAAAAAAAAAAAAAAAAAAAAAAAAAAAAAAAAAAAAAAAAAAAAAAGCTGACATGTCCGATTTGGCTTTTTAAAATATTGGAACTTTCTCAACGATGTAAATTAATATATATATAATTGTTAATTAGAAAAATAAGTTTATACATAATCAAAATTAAGACGTAATTAGGTGAGATTTTTAACTGTAAAGTTTAAATAATTACAAATTTTAGAGTAAAAACACAAAATCGACCCTAACTAAACGTTTTAATATGCTAAATTAAGCTCAAATTCACACATGATATAAGTTGAATATGAACCCTTTCATGGCTAATTCTAACCACTACCTTCTTGAACTATGAGGATGGTAAGAACAATTGGATCAAAATGGTAAATTAGAGACCAATTATAAAGAAATTGCTAGATTGCAATATTATAAATTCCAAAAGCGGTACACGAACATAAATAATTTACTTTGAGTCCACGTATTCAAATTTTCTTATTCAAGTTCTTGACTTTTCCATTCAAGTTTTCCCTCAAGATTTTTAAAACGCGTATGTTAAGGAGAAGTTTTCACACCTTTATGAAAAATGTCTTGTTTTCCTTCCCAATCGATATGAGATCTCACATACCTCAACGAGTCGTTTTTGCCAATATTGGCAGAGGCTTCAATCCTCCCTCCTTTGGATGTAACCTCGTCGATGCTTTGTCCACGCCGCTTATATCTGCCACCGGATGCTACAAATCCAGGACAACGCTGTATTTATGCCATTATAGGCCACCAACCAAAACCAGGGACTGTTGTATCCTCCCCTCTCAATTTCTTCCCGTCCACAGGCCTTGCCTTATACCCTCTGTTTATAAAGCAATGGAACAGAAAACAAGCTCTTTCTAACCCATACCCTTGGCACCAACATTATAATAACATCAGCCAAGCAGAACTCAGATGATAACAATTTAAGTGAAAATTACTTGAAAACAAACGTCCAGATTGATGGTTTGAAGAAAACCCCAGATGTGGTTTAAAATGAACCTTTCAATTCCCTTTACACACTGAAATACACGCCCTTCAATAGGTACGAGCAAAGAACTAAAGAAATGGAGAACATTCAACTCTGAATAGGGTGCCAGTGACTATCAATGCTGAGCCACATCTTCTCCGGTGCCGGCTTGTCCCTCAGCTAACTACACCAATAGGATTTATTACGACCAGAGGGAGCCTGGAAGTTGAAGGTGAATTGTCTAGTTGATGAAAATCGAAGTGAAGTCGTGGATCGATGGGAGGGGGTGGAAGAATGGATCTTGCTTAGGTGCAGGAACTGAGAGAAGCGCAGTTCCCATGTGTGTGTGCGCGGTGGACACGGGAAGATAGGGCAACAAAACGAAGCCCATGGAAATTGGCTTCAAATAGAATACAAAACTATTGATATTTAAAATGATAATTACTATCTTATTCACTACAAAACTATATCATCATGCAGACCGATGCTCAACCTCACTTCACCGACAGAGATTTACCCATGGTCGGGCATTGCAGAACAAAGAAATCTTTAACACATTTGCATTAAAATTGTTCAAAAGTTCCTATTCCTTATCCTTCCTTTACAAAGAGTTACTGAACAAGTGATGTACCTGTCAAGGTGAAGGAGTCAATTGATCATCTCAATAACAAGCCTTAAGAAATTCAAGTACAGACATTGGTGAGTTTTGTTATGACTCCTTCCATTGCCGGAAACGCATGCACAGCCATTTGAGCATTGGGCATGGATCAAGCTGCGGAAAAATACTTCTGAAGTGATTGAACTCTTGAAAGCTCTGAACCAACAAAAAAATTAGGGACCAAAAAGGAAAAAAAAAAACAAATTTGAAAGAAAAACGGGAGTAATGAACACAGATCAAGCAAAACTGAGGTTGGAAAAGTTAAAAATGGTGTTGTTTAAGAGTAATCGACAAGAAATCTTTCTTTTAAACCTTGCTTCTGCTACCAGACACCGCCCTATCTTTGTACCTCCTAGTATTGTATACTTTTTCCATTACTTCTCTTCTATCTTCTCTCAGTTACCCATGAACCATTTGTTGTTCCATCTCGCCAACAATGAGCATCACGGAGCTGTGATGATGCACCATGTACCATCGACCATTATGGAACTCATAGATGTTAGTCACATTGAATGGCCCTGTATCCATGTCAACGTAGGTTTTCATGCTAACCCAAGCCATGTCTGTAAGCACACGAGCCCGTACATCACGGACCTGAAAATTAATCCCTTGTTCCCAATTGAATGCAACCTGCCAACTTTGAATTACGGCATTATACCTGTTGACAAAGAAAACCCAATCATTGTAAGTACTGGATTAACATATATAAACAGTCTTTCCCAATCAAGTATATTTGTTGATATAGCAACTTGACAAGTTCAATATTCAATTCCTTCAACATGGTTCAATCTAAAGCTAATAAGTGTTTTTGTTGATCGTTCCAGCACCCATCCACCCACCCCCAAATAAAAAGATCCGCAGAGGCAGAACGATAAAGCTCCACATACTTAAAAAGTTAGGCAAGTTAATTTATCGTCATATATCATCTATTCTAAATTGAAGTTGAATATTAATACAAGTTTCTACTAAACTTGGTATGACCCGAGCGAATTACAAGCATCATTCTTCAGTATCTCACTAATCATATAATGTAGTTACCCATGCAAATGACCAAAAATCTTTCCCCTTAGAGAAGCACTTTGGATATGGCCAGATTCAAAGAACAAAGTCCACAATGCAGCATTGGTCCACCACAACTAGTTGAGGGCCTTGTGGCAACCTAAGCACATGCTGCCCATCTTTCAGCATATAAAGAGGGCCTTTCCAAAGAAAATGAGAAATTTGTGCAAAAATACGAGGAAGACCCTTTTATCCGAAATCTCATAAATTGCTCTATCAAGTGATAGTAGAGAGTAGAGACACAATGTCTTCTGTATTGCCAGTCTCAACATAGTACATAAGTTACTATTCTCAAACGTTCTTATATAAAAAAAACTTAAAAATCAAGAAATTCAGATAATCCACAGCACCCATATGACAGCAATCATAAGCCTCATGTCATTTCTAAAAATCCCTTATATATCACCTTCTTCTCAGTAAAAAGGCTTAGAAAATGTAAATATCAGATGAGGAGACCAAAAAGTGTCTCTAAAATATGCAAATGCAGGAAGTGTAACGTGTTTGATAATTTAATTGGCCATATCAAGCAGCAGTCAGATATCATGGTAAAAAAAAGACAATAAGGTAAATACCCGGAAAAGAATTCTCCTGAGGCATGAATACACTTCACATAATCTGCATTTAACCAAAAATGACTCATCGCTTGAAGAGACCTGTCTCTGATGATGTTATAGAATTGGGCATTGATATTCATAATTGTTCTTGTTGCAGCATAATATGCCTTCCACCCGTTAATTGGAGTTACAGTATCCTGTTCCAGTGTGAAGTCCTAAAAGATTTCATGGGAAATGTTGTCTTAGCCCCAAAGAATCCTAAATAGACTTAAGCATCTAGAACAACACACAAAAGTGGTGGGGAGCACAGAGATGGGTCTTGCCAATTCCAGAACTTCGGCCACAAGCCATCAATTGAAACGATTTCATTATTTGAAAGATAAGAGTTAATAAAGTCAGTTCGCTCCCCTCCAGAATTACAAAAAGATGCTGACTATGGTAGCACAAGTTCGAAACAAATAACACTACATTCCATTCGTGTTTCTTCCCCGTCACTCATCTTACAGAAGAAAAATAAATTACCATAACTCCATCAGTTCAGGCAAAAACCGTACAAAAGAAGATTAAACCGAACTCGTACCTTATGATAAAGCGCCTTCCAGGCACTATCATCATTCGCGGCTTTCCGCATCAAGGAATTAGTCATGGACAAACGACACAGGCTGGGATAATCCAAGTAACTAAGAGCGTGCGTAGTAATCTCCGGGACCAACTGCTCCATCATCGAAGCGCCCGTCTGCCGCTCCGTTACAACAACCGGCGCCTTCTCCAGCACTTCCACTGCACGACCGTTCAAATAAGGCATACTCGTACTAGTCGAAGAAGTAATCTCAGCCCTGGGGTTCAAACCCCCAATAGCCACACCACCGTTAAGCGAACAGGTACAATTAAAATTCCTCGTACCCACGCCCTCCAATTGTACCGTTTTCGTCCTTCTAATGTAAGGAACAGAAACCAATCGAACGGCGGCGAAAAGAGCGAGAAGAAAACAAAGAAAAGTAACAATCGCAGCTATAGGAAAAGGTTGGGACAACAAGGCAATTGTGGCAGCAGAGGCAATCTCCATTCAAACGACATGAAAGCCTCTATATGACGTTCAGCCTCACAGAACATGAAACCCTAAGAAATTTGTCGCGTCGCGTCGCGTTTCAGCGGAAGGTGTGTAAACGCGCCGTCGCCGTGAGAAGCTCAACTGTGCAATAGATGGTCAACCATGGAATTTGGTACATGAAATGTGTAGGCCAGCGCCGGAGATGAGTTTCAGGAAATGATCTCCGGTGACGGAATCGGAGAAGCGGAAGAAGGAGGAGGAGGAGGTGGAGGTTTTGGGTTAGTGACCCGTGAATGGTATCGTAACAGACCCAAAGGGGAAAATTTCCAACGTGTGAAACTTGTCTGTCAGTCAGTCTGTGTATCGAGGGGGTATTTTCGTAATTCCTCAACTCATTTTATTAAAAAATGTATTTGATTAATTTCATTAATTTTTATATGGTATATTTATTTAATTCTTTGGAGATAATATCATACACCTTCTATTACTACAACTCATACCTATTTTTTCTTTTTGAAAATTATGCTTTTTTTTTTGGTTGAAAAGTCTTATTTACTTTTTTTAAAGTTAAACTTTAGCCGTAATGAAAAATACCTTTCATTGATCCATTATTATATAAATTAAAAAAAAAAATTGTTAAATTGCAAATTTTAAATTTAAAAAAATTAATTAATCACTCATAAATTTCTTAAAAAATTGAAATTTCAAATTTAAGCGCATTTTAAATATATATAAATATGAAAAGTTTACCTATGGAATATATAATATTGAGATAAGAATTACAAATTTTACCAACGAGCATTTGCTTAATAAAAAAAATGAGAATTTAAAGCAAGCAGCTATTGCAAGAACAGGAGGGGGTTGTTAACAAGGGCATGGAGCCATACGTCTTTCTCAGGCTTCACTAGTCGACTGAGGAATGGCAGCATACTCAAAATCCCGTTCTTGTTCTTGTTCTCGTTCTCGATCTCGTCCTCGTCCTACAAATGGAAGGCTTCCGGGGTTTTCCTCTTGCAAAAGAACGCTAATGGGTGTTTGGGGAGGGTAATTGTCGAGAATGAAGTCGATTTCTTCTCCAACTATTTCCTCCTGATTGATAAGAACCTGCAATTCAAATTCCAGGTCCAAGAAAAGCCTCAAGGTCAGAAACGAATCGCGATCGTTTTCAGACACACACGGTTGGATTATCTACCTTTACAGCTTTAAGCAATGCTGCATGGTGCCTCTGGAGCATAGCCAACGTTCTATCATACGTGTCACGTATTAGCTCTTCAGCTCTCCGAGCGACTTTGTCGTCTAAGCTTAAATTCAGTGGGGGTTCGATTAGATCGTAGTCATCGTAAAGGGAGCCTTCGAAATCCAACCTCGGACCAACAAACTGTACACTCTTCCTCCATGGTGGTGGTTCCCCATGTATCACCATGGGATTCTCCAAATTCCAACTACAGAAGAGAAGCAACCATCCATGTTAGCGAATGACGTGCATATAAAATCACTTCGAAATCAAGGAACGTTAACTGACATCGTTAAAATTTTACGAGCAAGCCAAGAAGCATCAGCAAGATAGCCAACCGATGCCTTTGACGTGTCCCGCCCGTAAATAACCTCCTCTGCAGCCCTACCTCCAAGTAAAACCTACAAAACGATGAACATTTGTTTTAAAAGTTCCAGAAGATAAAAAAGACACACTAAGGTATAATCTAAAGTGGCATGCTCTTTTTTTATGTTAGCGAACCTGGAGACGATGAAGTAATTGCGGTCGTCGTTCAAACATGTATGATTCATCATCAAGCCGACGAAACACAACTTGTGACAGTGTCTGTGGAACATAATTTTTCTTCAATGAGAATCCAATTTCATTTAAAAACTAAGGCTGCTAAGCCAATAGAAAGAAGAGATAAGATAGATATCCACCCACAAGCCAAAGAGCTTATAGCAAGGTATTTCAGTTAGCATTTGATCACAAGATAACAGCTATTAAAAGACTCCACTTCTTCTAAGCTCAAAGAGCTCACACTCAAACTAAGTATCGTAATAAAAACCCAACTGACCCACATGAATTTTCAGAATTACAGCCCTTTGGTAATAAATTCTTCCATTCGTATGAATGTGGAAACCACCATGAGCATGTCAAAAGGTACAAACGCTTCGGGGGAATGGGTACAAAGGTATAAAACAATGAAAACGGTTTGGAATCAAGTCTTAACATGTCAGTTTGGCACCGGTGAAACTTAAGTCAAATTGATCACCGTGAATAAATAAGGAAGCGTTTGAACGGACCTGACCACGAGGGATGATTGAAATGCGATCACAACATTCAACTTTTGCATTCTCATATCTCCTAAGCAAATGTGAAATCATAGCAACGCCCATTTCTGTGGTAGCTCTCCGGCATTGTCCCTGATGGCCAAGCTCTATGCCGACACGTCTTGGTCCAACAGTGAGCCTGTCAACTGCATCGTTCATGTCCGACTGAGCAATAGATTCATGCCCTTTCCTCACAGCAACAAGAGCAGCTTCCTGGACAAGTTGAGCCAACTTTGCTCCCGTCCAACCTGATAATTTGATGTCATCTCAAGAAACCAAGTTACAGATCAATATAAAATGTACAAAGAGAACGAACCAGGTAAGTTCTGTGAGTAGATGCTTAGATCAACAGAGTCTGACATCTTCACTTTGCTTGCATGAATTTTCAAAATATCAAGTCTCCCTTTCACGCCCGGGGGACGAATTTTTATCTATGCAGGAAAGAAGGTATTCAGCAGTAGGGACAAATAAGATATAGAATCATAAACACGTGTTGTATACCTTTTATGTATGTTTGTAAGTATCAACGCATAATATAACACTAGCAGGGAAAATTTCTTTGCTTGCCAGGGGAAAATATATTTAAAAGCATTAGAAGCTCATCATCATGAATAATCTTTTAATTTGAATGTACTATAATTTCTCTATTAACAAGAAATGCAGGTATTCAATAAATGATTTCATGTCTTAAAAACAGTTCATTGCAAGAATATTAGAAAAGCACTTGATTTCTTTTTGTATTCGTTTCACAGACAGAGAAACAAGCAACATTCATGAAGTGAAAAATTGAACCTTTCGATCGAAACGACCAGGTCGGAGAAGTGCAGGATCTAACAGATCTCTTCTATTTGTAGCAGCTAAAAATATAACACCTTTTCCAGTATCAAACCCATCAAGCTCTATGAGAAGTTGGTTCAATGTGGTTTCCCTCTCTTGGGTGGCTGCATTGTAGAGATGATCGGTAGATTCTTTGAAAGTTCCCTGACGCCTGAGACATAACAATTTTAAAGAGAATGAAGACAGTTGAAAATAAATTAACAGAATAAATGACATCTAATATCCTCCAATAAAATGGGGTGTTGGGCCACACTCCTCGCATTATGCTCATGAACACCCACCCCACTAATTCTTAGAGAGACTTCACTAAGTTATTAAGTTTTCAACTTGGGGGCTTGAACCCCAAGCCCCCTTGATCTTGGAGGGTATCTTCAAACATCCCAAACACTTACCACCATCACATAATATGACAGGTCATACAGCGTACTGTATTAAATGCAATCAATTATCTAACTAAAACCAAAAAAGTTCAACGTCGCCAATACCTAGTTGCCAAAGCATCAATTTCATCAATGAAGATAACCGATGGTTTGTTTACCTGCGTATAGATAACATAGACAAGTGACTTCAGAAATAATCTACAGCTGAAGCTCTACATTCAAAGCTTCATGCATAGTTATTTATTGACAGGAAATCTGAATGGAGCATTGTTCAAATTCAAGGCATTTTTTCATTTCTATAGGCCACTCAGAAGACCCCAACTTTCTCCACTAGCCAGACAAATTACAGATTAGCCAATGAAGCAAACTGTCTAAGCTTAAAAACAAAAACATTATACAAGGACCTATTTGCTTATCAGTTAATGAGCTTCCAAAATGATAATCAATGAGCCAAGAGAAAACATATCATTGGAGAAGTGTTTAAGTTACTTTAATTCATGGCATGAAACTCAACTTATTGAAGATAAGAGCGTAATAGTGAAAATTGTATAACTAAGAGGATACTTCATACAGTCACTAGAAAAGTGCCCAGGTGCCAAGAATTGAAGTAATCACCTTTGCTCTCTTAAACAGATCTCTAATACGAGCAGAACCAACACCGACTAGAACTTCAACAAACTCGGACCCAGCCATTTGGTAAAATGGAACACCAGCTTCACCAGCTATGGCCTTGGCCACCAACGTCTGAAACATGTGGCTGGAGTTAAACATGTGTAAATGAATATTAAACAAATCAAATATTTCAAGATCCAGAGAGAGTGAAACTAACCTTACCACAGCCAGGAGGTCCTTCCAGAAGAACTCCATGAGGAGGTTTTATTCCTATCTCGTCAAATAATTCAGGGTTTTTCAAGTATCTCACCAGCTAAACAGAATAACAATAAAAGAAGTAAATTCACCACTTGATTAAACTTATAGCTTCCAAGCAACAACAAATATATCTATGTAAATCGTTTAAATAATACATTCAGATAAGAAAGCCTATCAACCAGACACAAAAGTAAAATCGTACTGAAATTCTTGAATACTATAGGAAGGAATGTAGTTTTTTCAACAATTGAAGTCTTTTTTTTTTTGGTAACTTATATTTTTTTTGTCATTTTGCATGATTCCTCTGTTCTTGATTCGTTTGTTGCAAGCTTGTTTTCTTTGATATGCCCTAATAAAATTTTGGATTTTCATTAATTCTAAGAAAAATATAGTTGTTATTAGTATCGAGATATCTGTCTTATGAGTCCCATCTCCAATCATTCCCATTTTCCCCCCTTCCCTTGCTTCTTAATCTATATAGAAGGAAAATAATAACAACGAGCTTGGCACTCACGTTATAAGCAAACAGAAGAGCTAAAAGCGAAAGAAAGTTCCACATGATGGTTCAAATTTCATCAGAAATATTACGATAATTGTGAAAGATCCCATTGTTTCTTTTGAGCACAAAGAGGGACAAGGGTGGGCAAGGTTTCAACTGATGGCTAAGTACCTCTTGGAGTTCCTCCACAGCTTCATCAATTCCAGCTACATCATTGAACTTGACTCCGGTTGAACCCTGCAAATTTTCTTGCAACAGATGATGCTTAGGATTTATCCTTTACTCTAAGGGTACTATAAGAACATGAAATGAGTACTAACATCAACACGAGCTTCTGCTTTGGAGCGTGAAAAATCAATCCCTTGCCAAAGATCCTTCATGATACAGAGAGCAAGAAAAAGATAATATTTCATAAACTTTTATCAAAAGTTGCAAATGATGTAAAGGCGTGGA